TTAAAAAATATAGACATAAAAAATTATTTCATATATTATAAAAGTTTAAAATGCAAATGCTAAACTTATGAATGCCGTAAATGTAACTTTTTGTATAAATAGCTATTAAAATATTTGAAATTTATTTTTAAGTTTATTTATAAACTAAAAATATGTTGTTGCATGGTATTTATATAACATTATTTTTAATTTAAAATATTTTAACGCACTTACATAATTTGGTTTTGACATTTCAAGATTAAATTAAAAACTTTGAGGTTTTTTTCTAATAATTTCATTTATAAAAAAAAATTGTTCTAACTTTTCATAACAAACACCAACTTTAATTCTTAAAATTTTCAACCAAAATAAATTATTTTTAAAAAATAAATATATATATATATATAATGCTATATCGATTATATATATATATATATGTACGTGTAAATATATTTTTATAACTTTTTATAAATTTTTTATTAAATCAGTGTTCTAAAAACCAATCGACCCTGATACCTGGAAGATATCCACTATGATTTCCGAGTTATGTTGAAACATATTATAAAACCAAACACTATTTACTCTTTAAACATTATAAAATACTCCCTCCGTTTTTGAATAGTTGTCGTTTTAGAGAAATTTTTTTGTTTCTAATTAGTTGTCGTTTTCAGTTTTCGATGCAAAATTTATTACATTTTTATTTTTTATATTTATTTTTATTATGCAACTTGATTTAATATTGGTTAAATTATGTTTAGGCAGATAATTAATGATATTTTTATATTGAAAAACTAACAACATTAATAGTTTCTTAATTTGTGTGCATATACTTAAAACGACAACTATTCAAAAACGGAAAGAGTATATTGGTAAGCTAATACAATTTATATATTTTACTGTAAAATAAGAAGAATATTCATAAATACAAATAGCATAAGATTTATTCATGCATGACATAAGTTTGGGGAAACGGTCAAAATAGTCCAAACATTTTACGGAATAAGTTTTCATACCCAAAGAATGTTACTACACATTTTAAACTTGAAACAACATAAAATTTAAATTACCTACATGAACCGTAAGTTCATTAGTCGTTTGTTGCTTTGACTTAGACGATATTAGCATGGCGTGGAGTGTGTATAAAAGAAACGATATAGTTTTGGTTAGTTTAGTTGTGTTATCTCCTATATATTAATAGAGAAACATTTTTTAAAAAAGACTTTACCATCATGTGTTATTAACAAGATTGCCACGCTGATGTGTCGCTCTCACAATGATTTGGCTTCTATTTAGATAATTACTCAAGATTTATTAGACTATTTACAGAATTTGCCATTAGTTTCATACATCCATATATCCCATTAATAATTAAAAACATACACTTTTTGTTTATCTTATATTACTATATTTTTATATTTATATTTTTCTTTATATACATTTATATAAATTTTCTTTAGCGGATGGGTAAACAATCTTTTTATTATATATTTATATTTATGTTTATATTTAAATGATAAAATATATACATTTGGTTCAAGAATCTCGAATTCAAAACTACAAAATCTTTACATCTTTCATAATTTTTTTACTTAAATAAATAAGATAATTTATTTTCTATATATGTTACGAATACTTAAAATCCTATTTTTTGGAGGAGTTCTAACTTTTCGAAGAAAAACATTATAACCACATTTGTATATAAACCAAAATCCGGCCACATTATAACCATTTCGTAAATAATCCATTCATAATCTAAGAATCTTAGATTTAGAACACTACAAAATCTTAGCTTGGAAACTATCAAATCTCATCTTTGCTAAATTTTGGATTTCTTATACTAATTAAAAAAAAAAAAATTCTTTTTATATTACAAAATCTCGAAATCTTTAAAACATACGGAAAGACATATTACCATAAATGGTAACATTTCGTCAATACTTTTTTATCACGTTGAAGCTTTATTCAAGGTTCAAATATTTCACGGGTAAAACATATTCTTATATGAAATAGTCCCAAATTTGAATTAAAAAAAAAAATGGAATATGTTTCGTTTTATACAAACGGATCTTGGATCCCGGATAATAATTTTACTTGAATCACTTCATTGTTATCTAGTGTATATAGTAAAATGATTTTGTTTTGAAATTAGAGATAAATATTAAAATTAGGGATAAAACATGTCGGCATAACACATCCAAATTTTGATTTTATCCCCAATTTCAAATCACTGCCGATTGTTGTCTACACAACACAACCAAAAACGATTTACGCTACATTGTTTTGCTTAGCCACATTTCACGTCATGCTTATGATGCACTGTTAGACGGTTGACTAACACCATGTAAGTCAAAGTAGAAAATGGCTAACGAACTTACATTTCATGTAGGTCATTAAAAGGTATCTTGCCAAATTTTTGGATTGATTTTGACCAGTTTATGAAATCTTGCCTATTATTTTAATGAAATGTGAATAAATGGGTTTTTAGTAATTGATTTTGGTATGGTTGGAGAATATATGAAGCTAACCAACCTATAGTAATTTGGCTTCAAATTCGGTTTAGTTATCTTGGTTTAGTTCGGTGATGTTTGGTTTAATCAATTTGATTCCGCTGAAAAATCGATTCACTTTCATACTTTCTCCAAACCCTAAACCCCCAACAGAGGATTTTCACGATCATCATCTCTGGTGATTCACGACTGAATCATTTGATATCGACTTCTATTTGTATTGATCTCTCTTATTATGGCAGTAACGAGGCCGATTTCCTCAAAAAGGTCGTCGACAATGTTTTGCAAAGGCTCAGGGACATTCCTTGTTTGGAAGGAGAAGGGATTGAAATGGCAACTCCATTTGGAATCGAACATCGAATCAAGCAAGTCGAGGAAAAATTGGATTTTGCTCACTGCGACGAAACTCGAATTGTTGGAATCGTTGGGATACCTGGTATTGGAAAAACCACTCTTGCCATGGAATTGTACAAGAAATCTAGACAACGGTTCGTACGTTGTCTGGCTTTTATGAAGATCCGTGATAAGTGGACAGATTATGGTGCTGAGCGTGTGAGGAAGATGTTCCTTGAAGATTTACTACAGATCACAAACATAAGTGATGATGAGGCTACACATAGTTGCTTAGAGAGTAAGTTGCTCTCGAATAAAGTCTTTGTTGTTCTTGATGATGTGAGTAGCGCAAGACAAATAGAAGTTCTTCTTGGTGACCGAAATTGGATTAAGAAAGGAAGCAGGATTGTTATTACTACCCGTGACAGGGCATTCATTGCTGAGTTAGATCCAAATCCATACGTGGTTCCAAGATTGAATCTTGGAGATGGGTTGATGTATTTTAGCTTTTATGCCTTTGAAGATCACGTTTGCAATCCCGGGATGGGAGATTATTTGAGAATGTCTAGAGAGTTTGTGGATTACGCTAGAGGGAATCCGTTGGCTCTCAGGGTATTGGGTCGGGATCTTCGTGGGAAAGATGAAGCGCAATGGAGAAAGCGGCGTGATACGTTGGCAAAAAGTCCAAACAAGAGTATTCAAGATCTATTGAAAATAAGTTATGGTGAACTTAGTGAACAGGAGAAAGATATGTTTCTTGACATTGCTTGTTTCTTCAGATCAGAGGATGTGTATTATGCTAGAAGCTTACTGGATTCTGGCGATACTGAGTCCTTTCGAGCTCCGAGGGAGATAACAGATCTTTCCCACAAGTTCTTTATTAGTATCTCTGGTGGACGCGTAGAGATGCATGATTTACTACATACATTCGCCATGGAACTTTGTTCATTAACAGCTTGTGGAGTAAATCAGGAGAAACTTAGGCTGTGGAATGAAAAATCCATTATCGCTGCGCTACATGGTGAAATGGTGAGGCTAATTAAATATAGCTAAAGCTTTCAATTTTCTTGTGGTGTCAGTGTTATAAGTGAATTTATGGTTTTTTCTTTAAACTTCTGTTTCAGGAAACCAAAACTGTCAGAGGGATTTCTCTAGACATGTCTGAAGTACCGAACATGCCTTTAGACAGGTTGGTCTTTACCAAAATGTGCAATCTCCGCTACCTTAAACTCTACAGTTCTGCTTGTCCACTGGAATGTGAAGGTGACTGCAAACTAAACTTCCCTGATGGACTTTCATTTCCATTGAAAGAGGTCCGATATCTCGACTGGCTGAAATTCCCGCTGGAGGAACTTCCATCAGACTTCACCCCGGAGAATCTTATTGATCTCAAGCTGCCTTACAGCAAGATTAAACAAGTCTGGAAAGTTTCTAAGGTTAGTATAGATATGTTTGGAGTTTGGTTCCTTTTTCTTGCTATAGTAGTTTACTAACTGGTGATGGAAATTATATGTGGTTTTAATAGGATACACCGAAACTGAAGTGGGTCGATTTAAACAACTCAAGAATGTTGCAGACATTGTCCGGGTTTTCAAAGGCCCCAAATCTTTTGAGATTGAATCTTGAAGGTTGCTCAAGTCTAGTTTGTTTGTCTGAAGAGATGCGAACAATGGAAAGTCTTGTTTTCTTGAACCTAAGAGGATGCACAGGTCTCCGGCATCTACCAGATATAAATTTGAGTTCATTGAGAACTCTTATCCTCAGCGGCTGTTCGAACCTTCAAGAATTTCGGCTAATTTCAGAAAATCTAGATTATTTGTACTTAGATGGAACTGCAATAGAGGATCTCCCTTCAGAGATTGTGAAGCTTCAGAAACTTATCTTATTAAATCTGAAAGAGTGCAGGAGGCTTGGGAGTCTTCCAGAGTGTATTGGAAAGCTTAAATCTCTTAAAGAACTGATTCTCTCTGGCTGTTCAAATCTTAAGAGTTTTCCAAATGTTGAAGAGAACATGGAAAATTTCCGGGTGTTACTACTTGATGGAACGTCAATTGAAGAGGTGCCAAAGATACTGCACGGTAATAATAGCATATCGTTTCTACGCCGTCTATCTTTAAGCAGAAATGATGTGATAAGCAGCTTAGGATCTGACATCAGTCAACTGTATCATCTCAAATGGCTGGACTTGAAGTATTGCAAGAAACTCAGATGTCTTTCGACACTTCCACCGAATCTCCAGTGTTTAGATGCACACGGTTGTATCTCTCTGGAAACAGTCACGAGTCCTTTAGCCTTTCTTATGCCAATGGAAGATATTCATTCCATGTTCATCTTCACAAACTGTTGCAAACTCAATGATGCCGCAAAGAATGATATTGCATCCCACATTCGGAGAAAATGCCAATTGATCTCAGATGATCACCACAATGGGGTCTCTATTCTTTCATTTCAGGCCTCAGCTCCATTATTCTCTGTCAACAAAATTTTTAGTTTTCTGAATATATTTTTTCTTGCAGAGTTTTGTCTTTCGAGCTTTGATCGGAACATGCTATCCTGGATACGAAGTACCTCCATGGTTCAGTCACCAAGCCTTTGATTCAGTGGTAGAAAGAAAGCTACCTCCACATTGGTGCGACAATAAGTTTCTTGGACTAGCTCTATGTGCAATTGTCTCGTTCCATGACTACAGAGATCAAAACAACCGTCTTCTGGTTAAATGTACCTGTGAATTTGAAAATTTAGATGCATCATGTAGCCGGTTCAGTGTTCCTGTTGGAGGTTGGTTCGAACCAGGAAATGAGCCGCGTACGGTCGAGTCAGACCATGTATTTATCGGCTACATAAGTTGGTTGAACATCAAGAAACTACAAGAAGAGGAGTACAAGAAAGGATGTGTTCCTACTAAAGCTAAGCTTAGATTCATTGTAACAGAAGGGACTGGTGAAGAGATTAAACAATGTGAAGTGGTGAAATGTGGGTTCGGTTTGGTGTATGAGCCTGATGATGAAGTTAATAATGTTGTTTTGTCGACGAGGACGAGTATGAATGGTGAAGCAAGCACTCTAATATCCGCAGAAGATGTTAGTGATTATCCAGGTGAAACTCCAACAACAGCTAGAGGCGGGGTAAATTTTTTTTGGCCAACGATAAGGCGATAAAGGGTAATTTATGAACTTAGTTTGTCACACGAAGAGTCGCTATCCAACAAGCGTCTAAACTTGCATGATGTACATAATTGAATATCTATCGCTGTATACCAATATTACTTTATTCATAGTTATGCCAAAGTCAAAGAGTATCGATTCACGATGAGTCAAGGTTCGTAATTATGTTACTAAGAATGCCATAATTTCTTTATATATGTGATCATCTGGCTTCTTCTCTCGGGAATTGTTGAATTAGCTCAGTCTTTTTTTTTTTTTGGAACACATCAGTCATCAGCTCATAGTCGTTCCAAACTGCTGTTCTAATGAAATCAAATAGAGAATTATAGAAGTGTTAATCCAGTTCAGATGATTCATAGAAGAAGTTCATAATCCCAGACATTTTAACTCAAAAAACCAGTTGACTCTAAAAAAGAAAAATGACTCAAAAATTGAAAAATAAGACAACAAAAATGAAAAATATCTTAGTACACACGTGTACTTTCCCCAGACTTAAATTTCACCGTCTCAGTGGAAAAGTAAATCGGAGAGAAAGGTTCATATATAGAAAATCCTGAAAGTGAAAAATTCTTTGTTATATTGTTGTAACAAATGGAATATTATTATCAAAAAAAAAAAAAACAAATGGAATATGTATCGATGGGATGGTGTATTACGGTGGGTTGACTACCAGAAGACAAGAGAATAAATTGTGGATTATTCGTTTTAACGTTTGAGGTAAGGGCATTGTTTTATCAACACATATCTGTCGGTCACAAATCATGGACCATTGATCAACTATAATGGGAAGGTAGCCGCGGCTAGTCCCTTGCCACGTGCTCCTCTTGGTAGTTTTGATTTGTGGGTTCTAGATGACTTCGACGAAAAACGTAGATGCATCATGTAGCCAGTTTAGTGAATTTATATGTCACTCGTAACAAAATTTGTGCGACAATAAATTTCTTGGGCTAGCTCTGTGTGCCATTGTCTCGTTTCATGACTACAGAGATCAAAACAACCGTCTTCTAGTAAAGTGCACATGTGAGTTTGAAAACTTAGATGCATCATGTAGCCAGTTTAGTGTTCCTGTTGGAGGTTGGTTCGAACCAGGAAATGAGCCGCGTACGGTTGAGTCAGACCATGTCTTTATCGGCTACATAAGTTGGTTGAACATCAAGAAAAGACAAGAAGAGCATTACAAGAGAGGATGTGTTCCTACGAAAGCTAGTCTTACATTCTCTGTGACGGATGGGACTGGTCAAGTGATTGCACAATGTAAAGTGGTGAAGTGTGGGTTCGGTTTGGTGTATGAACCTGAGGATGAAGTTAGTACTGTTGTTTCTTTGGCGGCGGCTAGAATGAGGATGAATGGTGAGAGTAGACAAGGTGAAGAAAGCACTATCACATCTTCAGAAGGTGAATATCAATTTGAAACACCAACAACAGCTAATTCTACAAATGGGAATGAATTGTTTGGTCAGGATAGTGTTTGATCTTTAGAGCTCACATAATAGTTTAAAAGCCTGTAGAAACATAAATTCTTGTGAGACATAATCGGATAATTTAATTAAGCATTCATACTATGTTTCTCTGAGTTGTTCAATATCGTTTCCATTTTTAAATTTAAAACTTTTATGAATATTTTTCTTTTAATACTTCATTAGAGTACCACATAGGAGTAACAAAACAGGGGACATGAGAAAAACAGAGACATAGTAAAGAACTTGGTCTGGAAGAGGGTAACGAGGGGTGATTTGTGGTTGGGGGAGCTATAACCTGGGAGACACATTCCTTCGGTCGTGTCTCCATCCCACAGTGTCCACAAACAAAAAGAGCCGGGACTGAGAGAACCCAACTCCACAACCTATATCCAGTCAGGAGACGATCTCTCCTCCGCATCCAACACAGAGAACGCACGCCAATCCACCAACTCTCCGGTAGGATGACGAGAATTCCAAGCGTCCGACGCGGCAAGAGAGAGAGACTGAAGGCCGATGACCGAGT